TTCATCCTTATAGCTTTGGCATTCGATTCGATCTGAATATCTAAATAATTCACAATACAAAAATGACTTCAATAAAATATCGCTCTTCTAATAATCACAAATTGCTCAATCGCAACTTTAGTTCTCGTTTGAAAATATCTAAGGTCTCTGTGTAAGATGATTTAATAAATTAATTAGTCATCAAATTTGGAGAAGTAAGGTTGAAATTGTAAATGCAGGGATACTATAATTCCGATTGATAAGAGATTCAAGTCTTCTCTACTGATTCGGTCTGTTTTATCTGCTTTATCCAGTGATTTCATTGTTGTCGTTAAAGATCATCTTTTTTTCTTTGATCAACTTCGGTTGTGTATTACGAGAAGTAACCCAGAAATACGGTTTTCCAACAGCCTTAAAAGAAAGAAGGATTGATGAATTTATTAAAAATATCAGCTTGTTTTCCAAATCCATCCTCGTTTCCAATACGCATAAATACGGATGTACGTCAAGACAAAAAACTGAGCGCTAAACCTATACTCGGTTATATGATTTTACATTTTTTTGCAATGATCGAGCGTCAAAAATCCTATTTGAGAAAAACTATAAAGTTCGTATAATGAATCTACCACCACTGTATTCAAACGATCTTCGATGATGTGCGGATATCTGTTGAGAATCACAAGCATCAACAAAAGCCATCAGAAAGAAATTTTGGTTGCTCATGTGACATTTCTACTTTCGAAACGCGGTCGTATTATAAAAGTTATCATTATCTTGCGTTCCTTAAAAATAGATTTTATTTGCTATTTCTTAACAAAAAAAAAAATAATGATAATAATTGTGTTTCGGTAGATGTAAGAGATAAATTGCAGAAACTTTTGAACAAAAAACCCCTGTGGCGTTATTCTGCCCACAACATTGACAATCAATCTTATAAAGTTTGTAATATAATCTGTACAACATTTTAAACAATTTCTCTCATTAAATCTTGATAAATCTTTCTTTCTCAATTTCCTTTTAAATTGAAAAAATATTTAAAATATAATTATTATAAAAGGGAAAGATAGCGATAGAGAATATAAACAAATGTACATCATCATCGAAAAAAATCCATCACCGAGATTATGATGATGTAATAATGCTTTTTGTTCTTGAAATGATCTACAAGGAAAAGTTTATTGAGGAAATACCAATGTAATTCACACGGTTTACCGCCAAAATTATCGACATCTCAATAAAAAGGGGTGAAGTTAAAAACTCGTTTTTTTTTAATGACACCTTTTAGAATAATTTTACGCCTTGCACAACAAACAATAATTATCGTAATATTTTTTTGGGAAAATCGAGTTTCGATTTTAAAGTGTTTTGTGCTTCTATGAGATAATGTCATATGGTTAAGCAAGGAATAAGCTCATTACACCGATGGGAAAATTTTTCATATAAATCAGCAACTTCACAGCGATGATAATCTCGACATTCTTTCCTCGAGATAAAATTAATTACCTTTTTCTAAAAATTTCCCGAATTAATTTCCTCTTGATATAATCTATTATTAAAATAAAAAGATGGCAGATGAACGTGGAGCAATCAATAAAAGTGGACCATCATCAAATTACGGAGCAACCGAAACTAATGAAGGAGGATCAAGTTCAGAGGATGTAATTGTAATTCAAGACCAAGGCTGGCAATTTATTAAATATAAATTTAGTGAACCTTTCGCAGAATTCTTGGGAACTTTTGTTTTGGTATCATTTGGTGTTGGAAGTATCGCTCAAACTGTCCTCAGTAAAGGATTAAATGGAAATTGGATAACTATTGCCTTAGGATTTGGTTTAGGTCTCGCATTAGGTATTGTAGTTAGCGGAGCCGTATCTGGAGGTCATTTGAACCCAGCCGTTACTATTACCATGGCAGTTTTTCGTAAATTCCCTTGGATTAAAGTTCCGATTTACATTACCGCTCAAACTCTTGGAGCTTTTGTCGCGGCTGCAGTAGTTTACTTTAATTACGTGGCGGCCATCGACAATTTTGCTGGAGATGATAGAATTGTTACGGGAGCAAATGCGACGGCTGGTATTTTTGCCACTTATCCTCAACCATTCATGTCAAACTTTGGTGCTTTCTTCTCTGAAGCTCTTGGAACTTTCTTCTTATTATTGATCATCCTTGCCTTAACTGATGAACGTAATGCACCCACCGCAAGAATTGTTACCCCATTAACGATTGGTCTTACCTTGGCCGCCATCGCCATTTCATTTGGTTATGAAACTGGTTTTAGTTTAAATGGTGCTCGAGACTTTGGTCCTAGATTGTTTACTTTCTTTGTTGGTTATGGTGTTAAAGTTTTCTCGGAACATAATTTCTACTTTTGGATTCCCATCGTGGCTCCAATTGTTGGTGGTTTGTTTGCCGGCTTAGTCTATGATTCTATGGTTTACTGGGGTGATAAATCTCCTTTGAATAGAAACGTACAGCATAGATCAGCATAGATTAAAAAAAATATAAAATATTTCTTGGACTTTATCAAATTTGTTTTTTATGTAAATTATGTAAATAAATCACGTGATATAAATCGTTCACTTGTGTCTTTAATAAAGTCAAAACTTATTTTCCCGATGGATTTTATATTTTTAAATTTGGTTAATGACTGTACATCATAATATATGAAAAGATTCGTCATGCATTTTTCTCGTGAATTATAGATAAATCTCACACGTGTAATGGTTGCATCATTTATTGTTTAATACGTCGCGATATATTATTATAAATAAGCCGTTAACCAAAAGATCTCGCCTTTTTAACATTTTTTTTTTCCAAAATTATCTGGTCAAAAAAAATTCCAAAATATTTTCCCCAACCGGAGACATTAAAATGTCTTCAAATCAATTTTATGTTGGTGACTTTTTTTTTTTATTTTTGAGAAAAATTCTTTGAATTTAAAGCTAAGGCTGAAGGATTTATTTACGATTATCTAAAAACATTGTGCCCCCATATTTACATGAAATTTCTTTTCATTAATGAAAAATTCTCCACGCCTCTATCAATTAATAGGAATTAAAACTCATCGAACCGGTTTCTACAAAATATCGTGGTAGCTCAAAACAAGGATACGTGAAAGAGATTGTCACCGTTAAAGATGAAGTTAATGTGCATCCTATAACCCAGTACGTTATAAAATCCAACATGATTCTTCTGTGTTTCTTTTTCGTCCTTAAAAATGAAATATTAAATTATTATATTATATTATAAATCTATAAAGACCTCCTAAAGTCGTTTTTGTGGATCAACATGGACATGAGATTATATTATTACAAGAGTTCAACTTGAATAATAACGATAATAAAAAACATCAAAATAAATGACAAAATTTTTGAACAATGAAACAATGGTGATATTCACAATACACATTTTTTTTAAAAATCGTTATATTGTCTGGAATGTTCCAAAACTTGCCAACCAAATTTCGTTAAATTGTGGAGAATCAATTATATTTTCCCCCCCGAGAAATTTTTTTTTTTAAAAGTTCTGGAATAAATGTTATTAAAGCGGTAAAAATGAATTCACCCTTTGATGATGTTTTTATTGGTAATCTATATAAAAAAACGATCCATATTACATTATTTTATTCTCCAAAACTTGTTTGTTACACAGATCAAGGCCAAATGAAGCCTTTTTCTGTGGCTTTGAATAACTTGGAGTTTGATCACGTGCATACAGCGAAATGTTGTACTAACATAACTTTCAATGCGTCTTCGAACTTCTTTATTGTAAAGAAAATGTGAAACATACATGGCGAAAAGATGTGTTAGAAGATCCGTGACTTATGATTTTCGGAATTTCGGAATTTCGAATATTCGATATTCGAAATGGATTGGCAGAAGATAAAATAAAAACATTCGAAAGTTCGTGGCTTATGGGTATCCGTTTTTTTTTTTTTTTTTTATAATATCGCTTTAATTATCTTTTATTTTATTTTTTTAAAAAAAAAGAAAAAAAAAACCAAAAAAAAAATTACACAAGACATTGTCAGGTTATAATATTATTTATTTATTTATTTATTATTTTTTTTTTATACAATGAAACCAAAAAAGAAAGAAGAATGAAAGAATGAAAATTGGATTTACTAATTTTGACGCGTTTTAGATAATCGTATATTATTTGCGTAACGTTCTTTTATTGGTGTTTTTCCCCTTCGCATATATTTATGATGTAATGATCACAAACTATAAAAAAACTTGATTTACTTTCCTTCTTTTCAATTTTTTTCGAAACTCACTCGTACCCTCACAACTGAATCTACTGTTACTCCTTTTTTTTTCTTTCTTTTTTTTTCTTATATACAGCAGAGTATTATGGGAATTGTCAAACGAATAACAGCTTATTCCAAGGTTTGTAAAAGTTCAAGACGTCCACACGTTTTGAAAGATATCAAGTCAGAAGGAAGGGAGGATGTGAGTAAATTATGTTATCAACTCTTTCATGTAAACAAGAGCGTTATATTATCAAAGAGTATTAAAGGAACTTATTTCCCTTAATTTAGCGTTTCTTTACGCTTAAATCTTTGGGCGTACCTAAAAAAATTCATTTACCAGTGGACGTTATTGAACGTCAGAAATTTTCCAAGAGGGTAAAAACACGAATAAGGGGATCTGCAAATGAGGTTTTACATAAGAAGCGAGAAGACTTTAAGAAAAGTCTAAAATCATTCATCAACGTGGCATTTCCATCATCTACAAATCCTTATGGATATTTGATGTCAAATCCAGGTCCCGTATTGGGTTTGGAAAAACTTTGTAAAGCGAATCAGGGATTGAAACCACCAAAGTACAATGATTATCTTGACCCATCACATAATCTACACTCCTGCACTTTAGAATTTAATGATAAAATTGAAATTTCCGATCCTATGCCAACAAAGGCGTTGGCAAAACTTAATGTCGCACATAAAGCGTTAACGAAAATCAGGAGGCGAGCGAAAAAGGAAGCTTCAAAAGGGAAATCACCGGAAGCAAGAAAGGTTATAGCGGAAACGAAAGCAAAGAAAGAATTGGCGAAAAAAATGAAATTTGAGAAAATGATGATGGAAGAAACGAAATCGAAAAAGGTTAATCAAGTAAATGACAAACCACCAAAAGATTTTTACCAAAATCCTAGAGTTCGAAAGTTATGGGCAAATAAAAGAGTTGAACCAAAGGATGATTGGTTCATGGAAAACGTCAGCTGTAGAAATTTCTCTTTATTTAAAGGTTTTTACCCTAACACCGCTACTAATATTGAAGAATCTGAATCCAAGACGAAGAAGCGAAAAGTTATCGATTGGAATGATTCGGTAATGTCACTTATTTTAGCTCTTATAAAATTGATGATTATTATAAAGTTTTGCAATGTTTAATTTATTAGAGAGCGTTTCAAGAAGTAGTTGAATCTCGGGCCATCAAGAGGATTCAGTTGGAAAAAGAGAATGGTGCCTATGAGATTTACATTGTTATTTGAGTTTTTTTAACAATGGGTTAATCAAGCTAAGATCTCTCTTATAAATTAAGAAACTATTATCGATGTTATTGATGGTGGAGCTGTTAAGAGCAATGTTTCACATGATCAAAATCCCATGGATTTAAATTTAAAGACAGAAATCGTCACATCGATTACGGACAATATGCCAAAAAATCTGGTCCAAGAACCTCAGAAAACCGAGAAGTCGGTACTTTTTCGAATTCAAGAGATTTTTGGACGAACTTCAATCGCACCAGAAGAAGATCCTTTGAGAAAAAATAATTCAGACGAAAAATACGTAAAAATCATCAAAACCGCCGCAAACGAGAAGAGAAGGATAAGAACTCAATCAAACGAGTTAAGATTTAACAGCATGCTTCAGTTGAGATAAATCAATGGCTATTAATTATCGATTGGTATATAGACTCCTGATAGACGAATCCAGGAACATTATTATCATTCAATATTAGTATTAATATTATATAAAATATTTTTCAATTACAAATCTTTATCAACGCACTTATCGCGCTTAACGTCTTAACAACAACTGTAAATATTATTTAGAAAATGTGTATAATAATAAAATTAATCCCTCATATAAATTTCAATAATAGAATAATATAATAATAATAATAATAATAATATAATAACATCGTTCATGAAAAATATATTAGATTTAGAATTTTAGTTATCCGAATAGTTAATTAGCAATTTTTTTTTATTTTTTTTTTTAGTTTGATTTGTGAATTAGTTTTAGGTATATAATTCAAATAATTTGAGAATTAGTGTTAGGTTTATAATTCATCATCTACTCGATCTGAATAAAAAATAATTTCAAATTCAAATCATTCCATTTGCTCGAAGTTTTAAATTTTCTAAAAAAAAATAAATTAAATTAAATTATAATAAAGTAAATTCCAATTGTCTTTCAGTAAAAAGTTTATCTGTTTCAAAAAATTAAATTGGAACTACGTCTATGCACTTTACATGTAGATGGCAAATCTACCAATTACATTGCATTGTATTTTATATTATTTGAAATACAAAACTATTTGGTGCTTATTGTGTTAACCAATTATTGTTTCGGAACATAATAAAGATTGATATTTTTTTTTTTTCGAATCTGTTAGATTAAATATCTGTAAAATTAAATGGAAAACTGTTCTTTGTAATTTTCGTTTTCATTCCTCCAATTAATTGTGTGTAATTATAAATGAATTGCGTGATTTATAAGTATTAATGAACGAAAATATCGTGATCCAATTTCTATATATTTGGGGATGATCAAGAAAATGACTATATAAATCATAGCTCATGTTAAATGGGATAATCTTATGATGATCTAATAAACGCAAATCCTTTGACCATAGAAATACCAATCATTTGCACAGTTTGTAAAATTTGTATTGATCTTTGTTCGACCAAAATCATTGAGTATCTATATTAGGATAATAAATAATCATTCAACATTATTTCCATTCCTGGAAAATAATAAGCTCGAGCTAATGAGTTAATTCCCAACAGAAATTAAGATCAAAGGATGTTATTTTTTGATAAAAAAAAACATGGCAATTATTTTTTTAGATACCTAACAATTCATATTCTTTCTTCTTCTTTATCTGAAATACTTCCCATTCCTCAACTTTAAAATGATTAGGGATTCCGACATTTTCATAAGAACCACTGCTTGAACTCCAATTACCCAAACTTGTCATGGCCAAATCATTGCTATCACCATTTAAATTACCGAATATGGGACCCCAACCTTTGAAACATCTTATGGCCCCTTTCGGTCTGATAACCCTACCAATCCTTCCCGTTCCAACATTATTTGAATCGTTAAATGAAAATAAGAAACTATCCACAGTAGATTTGATACAATCGCCTTCCCACCCCATAGGGTTATACCCTCCAATTAATGCTTTCGAATCCTTGATTTTTGCTATCACAATGGTTGGACCTTTTTTATCACATTTTTTATGAAAAGTATTACCATAAGTTCCATCTCTCGATGACCTGAAAAGTAAGTTAAATTCGTAAATGATTGATTTGGAATCATTATACATCTCGGATTTTTTATCAATCCAAGTCGCAAATAAGGTCACGTGTACATAATTGATCAAATTCGAATCTATATGCGCAATCATCTTTCGATGTGGAGGTTGTGGGGGGAAATAAGAATACGTTATTATTGAAGTGATTGAATTGGATGACTCGGAACTTAATGATGGCGTAGGGGATTGAGAAGGTTCTGGTGTGTTGACTGGACTTGAGTTGTCCGGACTTTCAATGCCTGGTAACATATGATATCTTAAAATGTCCTTTTTAAGTTCTCTTGGTAATAATTCTTCATATGGCATCACTTTGTTAAGGAAGTCTCTAGCAGATATTTCTTGAAAATTAATTAAATAAATATAATTCTCAAGTGTTTCTTTAATGTTATTGAATTCTTCATCACTCAAATTGATTTTATAAATATCCTTTTCATTTTCAAAATATTTACATTGATATATGCACCATTTAACTAAATTTTCCCAGATAATTATTTCATCTAATATCAAATCTTCCCTTTTAATCAACGTTTCCAAGACATTTGGTGGAAGGCAATAAAAATATCGTGTATTAAAAATTACTTTTGGTTTTTGACAGATTAGTTTAATGATCATCTCTTGTAATGAAAATAATGATTCATGTTGAAAGGATAACACGAGAAGTTCGAGAGGATTGCTTTGCAATATCTCCCTACGATTTGTACAGAGGTATTCTTTTAAATGTTCAACAAGATTTTGTAAATAAAATTCCGATGCCGCTACTATTATATTTAATATTTCTTCTCCACTATGCTGCTTTAAATTTATATCGCCGCAATATATATAACTTTTTTTTTAAAAAAAAAAAAAAAATTAGTGAAAAAAAAAAAAGGTTTTTTAACAAAAGTTGTTCTTTTTAACGACAGCTAACCTTAAGATATGATGAAAAATTTCCGAAGGGATATTTGGTTTCTTTATATTATAACATCCATCCACTTTCTCGATTACATTTGAAAATAATATTGAGAAATATTGTGATCTACACCCAAGTATAAGTGAGTGTGCGTAAAATTTCCTGGCAATCGGTTCTTCCCCAATGTAAAATATGACATCATATCCTTCTTTGGTTTCCAAAAGTTGTTTAAAGTCGTTCATGATATCCGGCCAAAATAGACATTCCGATTCTTGTAATGATTCTTGCATTTATATATAAATATTTTTTTTTTTTTTACAAAGTGAAAAGATAAAAAAGAGAAAATGAAGGTTTAATAGAAAAGTTGACCAAGGAAATCAATTTCCTTTTATTTAGAATGAAAATAACTAATGAGATAATGTGTTCATAACAACCTTCCAAAACAGGAATTCATATGATAAGAAATTGTGTGGATTATTATTGATTTATACGATTATGGAAACCTTTAACATAATATTCTATGCATCATTTAATTCTTAAATCAAAGTGCTACCAATGATGTAAACGAGTTGAAATATTTCTTTACCTGACACATTTTCAGACGCAGTAAAAATTCCGATTCGTTCAGGTAAATTGAATTGAGGTCATTCATTGTTCGAATTATAAACATATGTGGTGTTTAATACGTTGAACCGAGATATTTTCTGATAATCCAAATAAACAAGTATGATCGCTTTTATAACTGGACAATATTGGATGAGTCCAAGACTGATTTAGTAGTAACATAATGAATGATGAACACTTCGTTAACGTATATTTGCCATTTTGTCTAACTGATTGGTTCGAAGTTCTGACGGTGATCCTTGCCCTTGCTACCAGGGTTTGGGTCTGCAGTCTCTTGAATTTGATTGGTTCAAAATGGTGCATCGATCGGATAGATCGGTCCGGATGGGACCGTAAAATTGTTCGTCAATTAAATCTTTTTATTATAAAGAAAATAAAGAACTTTAATTACCTGTATTCAATTCTACTGAAGATCATTTATTAAAAGTTTTGAAAAAAAAAATTTACTACATAAATAATGAAATCTAATATTTTATTTTTATTTATATTATTAACAAACTTTGTAATTTAATATAAAATTATTTATTAAAAAAGTATAAAAAATATTTTGATATATAGTGATTATAAAAAGATGATATTTAGCTTACTAGTTAAAACGTATCTAATGGTATTATAATTATATTTCTAGCATAAATAAATCATAAATTATATTAGTTTAAAATAATTTAAACAAGAGAATATTTGTTTTTAGCGGGTGCTATAATGTCACCCTAATTATGTGTTACTGCAACATAAAATTTATATTATTAGCACATTAAATAACACTTTTTTTTATATAAAATTTTCTGGCTAAACCACATATTTTTTTTGTGTTTCATTAATCAAAATATTTTATTTCTCATTTTCTTTTAAATGTATCAAAGTATCTCTTTTTAGTTATTTTTTTTCCTTTGAATACCTTAAAATAATATTTACAAATTTCCTATTTTCTTTTACTCATCTTATAAAATTCAAAATAGAGTTTATATTATTATATGGGAGGATTGCTAGAAAAATAGGGCTTTGAGTATTTTTTATTGCATTTTAATTTTTGATAATATTAGATTAAAATGCAATAAAAATTAAAATTTTAATAAAAATGCTCAGAGCCCAATTTTCCTAGCAATCCTCCCATATGACTAATATGATTACATTATAAAAATAATGAAAAATGGTTAAAGTATTCTAAAATGCTATATTAATACTTTATAGATTAATAATAATCAAAAATTTTCTTTTATTTTTTAAAAGAAACTTTGTGTCAAATCAAGAAGGATTACACATAGTTAAAAAAAAATAATCTAAGTTAGTATAATAACCTTTTGCTCTTTCTAGTAATTGTAAAACTTGTCTTAATATAATACAAAACAATAGAATTTGTAGATTCAGAAAAAAAGAAAATATTTCAAAAAAACTTATTTTTGATTTAAAGTTAAAGGATCTGAACTAAAATTGCTAAATGAAATCTAAAGTTTAAACAAATATCTAAATATTAAAGGTTAAACTTGGTTAAACTATATTAAAATCTTATTAAAAATTCAGAAAAGATAAAACTATACCAAAGCTTATAAAAATAATAAAACTATATCAAAACCTTAGTAAAAATTTAGCAAAACTCAAGGTTTAGACATTTAACTAACATCTAAAATATCTAAAATGAGTTTAGATAAGCAACTTTAATTTAGACTTTACATAAAATCCTTTATTATAGAATTATCTATTAAAACTTAATTTAGTTCTTAAAAAATTGCTAAATATTATCTAAAGAAATATGAAAATAAAATAGTTTTGTGATAAAAAACAGTTGATTATGATTAAATAATATAATTATATTATTTAGTCATAATCGCTTAGACTAGGTTATTTAGTAATAAAATAACCTAAATATGATTAAATAATCTAAATATAACTAAATAATCTAGATATAATTAAATAATTTAAATATAACCAAATAATCTAAAGTTAATAACCTAAATATGATTAAATAATCTAATCAAATAATTTAAGTGTAATGATTTTTATACCTTCTTATTTTTTTACTATATTTCTTACCTTTAAAATTGCTTTTTTTTGCCTTTTTATTATTATTATTTGTGATCATGTGATTAAATAACCTAAATATGAATATGACCAAATAATCTGAATGCACCTATTTTTATTACATACTATAAGTTAATACAGTCAAATCTTGATATAACAAACTCTTAATATAACAAATTTTTAAATCAAATATATTAAATATACCTTATTATAGTTAACTAGCCAATTAAATTCTTTAAAAAATTCGCTATAAGCTTATAATGAAGTTGAGATTCAAACCCTAGAATTCGTTATATCAAGAGTTTCCTGTAAATAGTTTCTATTATAATTTGCGTTTACACCTGCTTGGAGGTCAACTTCTATAAGAATAATACTAAACTACTATACCAGTTTTAGATCTGACTTGTATAATAAAAATGTTGACTTACTGTGTCAGTTTTGAAATCAGCTTTTATGATAAGGATGCTAAGTTTTATGTTATAAATATATGCTTATTTGGTTGCCTTTTAAATTGCTAAAATAGTGTAAAAAATATTACGTCAGGTAATACAATGAATTACATTTAATTTTAGCTAATATTATGCCATAATTTTAGCTGATCTTTTAGGCATATGATTTAAGAATCCAGCTTAAAACCATAATAATAATATAGTAGTATTATAAAATTATTATAGAACTGGTAGGAAGCTTGATAAATTCTATTAGTTCACTAGTTCTAGATCAGTTTTGCTTTAATTTAGGAGCTAAGTTATTATGCTCAAATTTTTAGTTGAAATTATGAAATTGTTTAATTAAAAATTACTGTTAATTTACTGTATCTAATTACGTCTTGTATTTCAAGCACTTCTAAGGCCTATCATAATTTAATTTAGGTTGAGATAATAAATATGCTATATTTTTGAGTATATCTATAAAAATACTCTATTCCTATAAGAAAAATTCTTAGAAATGTTCATAAGAACAATCTTGATATTATTTTTGGGCTTCTTAACTTGATTCATTGAGTTTTTTATTATTTGTTCCTATATTCTTATGAGTAGAGTTTTGCAATTCAATTTGATATTTGAATATTTGATTAAAAAATCAAATAAAATACAAATTCAAATTTATAATTGATTTGATTTAATCAAATTCAAATTAAGAATAATTTATTTGATCAAATCCAAATTAATGTTTGATTCAATTGATCAAATTTAAATCAAGTATTCAAATATTTGATTTGGTTTGAATCAATAGTAAAGCTATCTCCATAGTTTCAGAAGTGGCTCTTACTAAGAAAACCATAATAAAAAATGCCTCTACAACTTCAAAAATGCTTTTTTTACTAAGAAAACTATAGCAAAAAGTGCTTTTATAACTTTGGAAATGTCTTTTTTACTAAAAAAAAAGCAATAAAAAATACCTTTGCAGCTTTAGAGATATTATTTTATTAAGAAAATATAGTAAAAAATGCTTTCATAGCTTCAGAGACATTTTTTTACTAAAAACCTAGTAAAAAATGCATCTGCAACTTCAAAAACATTTTTTATTAATAAAATGGTTCTGAAGCTATGATAGCAATTATTACTAAGCTATTTTAATAAAACTGAAGTCACAATGGTAGTTATTACTAAGTTTTCTTAGTAAAACTGAAGCTGCGATGATAGTTATTAATAAGTTTTCTTAGTAAAATCAATACTGCAGAGTTATTTTACTAAGTTTTCTTAGTAAAGCTGAAATCACAAAGTTATTTTACTAAGTTTTTAATAGTAAAATTCACCTGTTATTAAACTTACTTTGTAAAAGCTATCTTTGAAATTTTTTAGTACAATTACTAATAATTTTCTTAAATAAAACTTTAAAATAACTTTATTTTAATATATTATTATAAAAATTAAAAAAAATTTAATATTTAATTTGAAAATATTTGATTTATTTGATTTGATTCGATCAAATTCAAATTGCTTAAATATTTGATTTGATTCAATTTTAAGGAACCCTAGCTATAATGATAAATATTTGTTAAAAACGCTATAAATCACTAAATTGTCATAATTCACCTAAACACTTGTTAATATGGATTTAGATAATTAAACTTTATTCAGTTGAAATTAATAATTCAAACTTTATAAAATATAGAAGAATATTATGAATATTATATGCATTATTTTTTTTAAAAAATATATAAAATCATAAAATATCAGAAATGTGATGCTCTTGTCCTATAAATAATATGTATAAGAAAAGTATATAGAAATAATACGTTTAAAAAATGTATAATAAACGTAGAAAAACAGTATAAAAAATTCGTAAATATTTCTGTATACTAGATACTGAAAATCGTCTTTGTCCGTATGCAAAAAATACTGAATTTATATGTCTAATCAGTATAATGTATAT